TAGTCAATTGATTAGTCAATTGATTAGTCTATTGACTAGTCTATTGATTAGCCAATTGACTAGTCTATTTGAATAGTCTGTTGACTAGTCTATATAGTCGGTTGATTAGTCAATTGATTAGTCAATTGATTAGTCTATTGACTAGTCTATTGATTAGTCAGTTGACTAGTCTATTGATTAGTCAATGACTAGTCCTATTGATTAGTCTATTGATTAGTCAATTGATTAGTCAATTGATTAGTCTATTGATTAGTCAATTGACTAGTCTATTGATTAGTCTATTGACTAGTCTATTGATTAGCCAATTGACTAGTCTATTGAATAGTCTGTTGATTAGTCTATTGACTAGTCAATTGATTAGTCAATTGATTAGTCTGTTGATTAGTCAATTGATTAGTCAATTGATTAGTCTATTGACTAGTCTATTGATTAGTCAGTTGACTAGTCTGTTGATTAGTCAATTGATTAGTCAATTGATTAGTCTATTGATTAGTCTATTGAATAGTCTATTGATTAGTCAGTTGACTATTCTGTTGATTAGTCAATTGATTAGTCTATTGATTAGTCAGTTGACTGGTCTGTTGATTAGTCAATTGATTAGTCTATTGACTAGTCTATTGATTAGTCAGTTGACTAGTCTGTTGACTAGTCAATTGATTAGTCAATTGATTTGTCTATTGACTAGTCTATTGATTAGTCAGTTGACTAGTCTGTTGATTAGTCAATTGATTAGTCTATTGACTAGTCTATTGATTAGTCAGTTGACTAGTCTGTTGATTAGTCAATTGATAAGTCTATTGATTAGTCTATTGAATAGTCTATTGATTAGTCAGTTGACTAGTCTGTTGATTAGTCAATTGATTAGTCAATTGATTAGTCAATTGATTAGTCAATTGATTAGTCTATTGACTAGTCTATTGATTAGTCAGTTGACTAGTCTGTTGATTAGTCAATTGATTAGTCAATTGATTAGTCTATTGACTAGTCTATTGATTAGTCTTTTTACAATATAAAAATACTTTTTTTACAATATAAAAATATTGGACACATTAATTTTAATACCTTAACGTTATTGTTTTTTCTAGACGTGCCGAATGGCTTCGCATATTATGTGTGAAGTCATCGGTGAAACGCTTATATGCATGTAGTCGGCATTTTTCGGAAGAATTCATTTTTGGGAATAAAATATCTAAATTTGCTGTTCCAAAAAGTGAAACTTCTGAACTAAAGAACACTTTGCCTTTAGAATCTAATTTATTAAATTCAACTCCAGTTTCAATTCTCAACGAAGAAAATACAACAGGTTTAGATAGCTCAGATAATTTAACAGACAAGGACATTCCTATGACAGACATTGTGACGCAAAATAGCGTAGATGCTCCAATAGATATTCAGACGACAGAAGACAATTCTAATATTGAGGTTCTAGAAGAAGACATAGGTGACATAGATATTACAGTGGGAGCCACAGAGAAAACCTATTCCTACAAATTAAGGACACTATAAACGGCACTCGACAATTTCCGAGGACGATATTTGACAGAGAAACGGATTAAATCCAGATTACAGACAGAAAATGCTAGGTTATCGACACACGTAGATAAATACAAGAAAAAAGTTGAGAAATTGGAATTTGAGTTGAAGAAGAAGAATGATATGTCGTCGAAAGTATCAAATTCTATGTCGGTTTGTTTAGAAAATAGTTTAATTAATCATAATAGAGAGCCCAAAAATCGTCGGTATGGTATTGGCTTAAAATTAATAGCTCTAGCTGTGTATTTCCTTTCTCCTTTAGTATACCGTTACTTAATTATTTTGCTGGATTGGCCTCAAGTTAGAACTTTACAACGGTTTGTAAAGGACTGGCCAAAATCTCCAGGTAATTTAAATGGAACTTATGAAGCGTTAAAAGAACGTGCACGCGGATTTACGGAGGAAGAGAAGTACGTTAGTGTATCTTGTGACGAAATGTCTTTGAAATCTTTTCTTGATTACGATAGGTTTAAAGACAAAATAATAGGCCTAGAGGATTTCGGGGACGAAAATCGTTCACGAAATATAGCGACTAGCGCTATGGTTATTATGGCAAGTGGAATAGGTGGCAATAGTTGGTCGCAAGCTGTTTCTTATTTCTTTGTAAAAGGTAGTTGTAAAGGACATGTTATGAAAAAATATATTTTCGAGGCAATATCGAAGTTACAAGACATAGGATTGAAACCTTGCCAATTCGTTTGCGATCAAGGAGCCAATTTCGTCAACTTTTCAAAGAGTGTTGAAGTAACTGTCCAACGACCATATTTTGAGGTAAATGACAAACAGATTCATTTTATGCACGACAGTCCTCACCTTTTGAAAAGCAGTCGGAATTGTCTTTTAAATAAAGGCAATAAAATTTATTTTGAAAATAAGCTTGTATCTTGGGAAGACGTGATTCATTTCCACAAAGTAGATTCAAATTACATAAAATGTGCCCCTAAGCTAAGTATGGAGCATATTCATCCTAATAATTTCCAAAAAATGAAAGTCAACTTAGCAGCTCAAGTTTTAAGCCGTACTGTTGTTACCGGAATGCGAATACTACAAGCTTCAGGGAAATTAGATTCTTCTAGATCTTCAACATTTTTGAGCACCGCTGACTATTTAGAATTTTTTAACGATCTTTTTGACATTTTCAATAGCCGTACAGAGGGAACAATTTTTAATGCTTCCGACGAACAGTTGGAATTCCTTAGACAGGCCTCGAAAAAACTTCTTTCCATTAAAATTATTGACGAAAAGGGAATAGATATAACAAAAACTTTTAAATTTATTAACGGTTGGTTAAACAACATTTCGGCTTTGAAAAGCCTTTTCCTTTATCTTAATCAAGAAGGATTTCAGGGAATCAAGACACGACGACTTACACAGTATCATTTGGAACATTTCTTTGGCCAAATTCGAAAGGGATCTGGTAATTCAGTACGAATTACACCTCGTAATTTTTCAAGCTCATTCCAAAAGAGGTGGGGTCTTCAGTATGTCAATGTAGTAGTAAATGGAAACTGTGAAACTGTTTCCCAGGAAGATAAAATATTAGATTTTTCCATAGTAGATTTTTGAGCACCGCTGACTATTTAGAATTTTTTAACGATCTTTTTGACATTTTCAATAGCCGTACAGAGGGAACAATTTTTAATGCTTCCGACGAACAGTTGGAATTCCTTAGACAGGCCTCGAAAAAACTTCTTTCCATTAAAATTATTGACGAAAAGGGAATAGATATAACAAAAACTTTTAAATTTATTAACGGTTGGTTAAACAACATTTCGGCTTTGAAAAGCCTTTTCCTTTATCTTAATCAAGAAGGATTTCAGGGAATCAAGACACGACGACTTACACAGTATCATTTGGAACATTTCTTTGGCCAAATTCGAAAGGGATCTGGTAATTCAGTACGAATTACACCTCGTAATTTTTCAAGCTCATTCCAAAAGAGGTGGGGTCTTCAGTATGTCAATGTAGTAGTAAATGGAAACTGTGAAACTGTTTCCCAGGAAGATAAAATATTAGATTTTTCCATAGTAGATTTTGCTTATAGTTTAGATGCTAATAATACCCAATGGGATGAGTTTCATTCTCTACCAAATCCTTGTCCATCCATTAGAGAGTCAGATGTTCATGATAGTAGTCTTGATAGGGAGGAAAGTGTTGTCCTTGAAAACAATGCATTTGTTTACATATGCGGATATTTTTATTTCAAACTGCATAAAATGCATTTATGTGATCACCCCTTACCAAATTTTGATAGCAACGAAGAAATTCCGTTAGATTATAGCTTCACCTTTGCCAAACAATTTGAAAACTGTCACCTAGTTAAACCACCTCAAGAGTTCGTTGCTTATTGTTCAGAATTAGAGAGGAAATTCATGAGTATTTTTGATAGTAATTGCCATCGAGATAACCTTCTTCAAATTATTTTTAACGAGCTTGTTAGTGTACAACCATATCTCTGTTGTGGTAATATTAAAAATGAGGATATTTTAAATTTATTTATTCGTATTAGAATTTATTTTATTCTTAGATTTTTTAATGCCAAAATGAAAGAACCCAATTTCAAGCAAAAATATCTTTGCGTCTCTCACTTGTAATATTCTACTTCTTATATTCCAAATGATCCACTTCAATTAGACAAGGACAGAGTTGTTTACTTGATACATTATCTAAATATCATTTAAAATCATTCATTCAATATATGAGATATTATCAATCTTACAGGCTTTAGTTCAGAAGTATTCATTTCTTAGTTAAGATGCTTTTTATTTTAATATTTTGTATATATTTTTTTTAATTAATTTTATTAATCATTATTTTGCATATATTTTTACATAATTTCATTTCAATTATTTGGTATTGGATTACATTTATTTCTCACACATCTAATTTGCTTGCTAACACAATAACACTAACAAACATAACACCTGGTATTAACAATACATTATTATAATTTAGTTCAATGTGTATGAAATGTATGTATATAAAGTACTTAAACCCAACATAATTCACAAAAACTTCCACTACACGAAATACATTCACCAATCTTTCTAAAAATGTAATATCTTTAATATATTTTATTTTTTGCATTTGCAATTTGTTTATATCATTTATATATTGAATGTTTAAGAGGTTTTGTGTACATATACTTTTATACTATATATAATTATTTTGAATTAAAATCAACGTTGTAGTATTGTAGTATGAGCTATTAAAAACATTATTTTCCAAAAGAATCTTGGTTATAACTTTGTTTTACTGTAATCCAGGAGTAAGTACAGCGAATATAAAATGCGTCAGCATTTCTAGCATAAACTTACTCAAGACCATCATGCGTGGTGAAGAACCACAACCTACTTGAGGTGATGCTGTTTAATACAGAACATGATGGATCTAGACCAGAAAAGGTCGATAGAAAATCATCCAACAAAATAAAAACTGGTAATCATTAATGTAATTGACAATTACAATTACTAATTGTAAGTTTATTAAACCGAACATTGTAACACATTTGAAAATTATAAATTTTAATATATTTATGGCTTCCATTTCAGTGAACTCCGTGCATGATTTGGTCCAATTGCTCCATTAGCTTCAGGTCAGTAGCCTTGACAAAATTTGTAAAATTTTGTCCATAGTGTACCCTTAAACGAAAAGAGAAAAACTTTGTTAATAATGATTTTTGTTTTTTTGTTTTATTTTCAGGCACTTGAGGGTACTTACCGCTGATCCAGGAGAGATTTGGTCCAATTCGTCCATTAGCTTCAGGTCAGTAGCCTTGACAAAATTTGTAAAATTTTGTCCATAGTGTACCCTTAAACGAAAAGAGAAAAACTTTGTTAATAATGATTTTTGTTTTTTGTTTTATTTTCAGGCACTTGAGGGTACTTACCGCTGATCCAGGAGAGATTTGGTCCAATTCGTCCATTAGCTTCCAGGTCAGTAGCCTTGACAAAATTTGTAAAATTTTGTCCATAGTGTACCCTTAAACGAAAAGAGAAAAACTTTGTTAATAATGATTTTTGTTTTTTTGTTTTATTTTCAGGCACTTGAGGGTACTTACCGCTGATCCAGGAGAGATTTGGTCCAATTCGTCCATTAGCTTCCAGGTCAGTAGCCTTGACAAAATTTGTAAAATTTTGTCCATAGTGTACCCTTAAACGAAAAGAGAAAAACTTTGCTAATAATGATTTTTGCTTTTTTGTTTTATTTTCAGGCACTTGAGGGTACTTACTGCTGATCCAGGAGAGATTTGGTCCAATTCGTCCATTAGCTTCCAGGTCAGTAGCCAACAATTAGAAAATTTCCAGATATTAAAAAATTTCTTGCAAAAAAACAAAGAATTAATGTTATTACAAATACAACGTATTAAAATGTATTTTTCTTTATTTGCAGATATTACTTACCATTTTTCCACAAGGTACAACTTCGTTGGAGTTCATTTTTGTTATTTTTCTATAAATAAACAAAAAAAATAAAAAATTGTGAAAATTTTTCAATAAATTTTGTGTTTATTTATTTATTTATTTTTGAACACATGTTAAAAAAGGTAGTATATGGTTGATATTTTTTTCACATTAGTGATATTTTTTCTTTCTTTCATATTATGGGGGTAAGCTCAGCTGATAATCGCTTTTTACAAACGTCAGTTCTGACAAATCTGGTTATATCTGTGGTAAAGAGTATACCCACACCATCATCCGATACAACGTTCACTGAGGAAGAAGCTATTGCGCTTATGTTGCAGCTGGGATTAAGTCGTGATAACTACATAACGTTAAGAAAGGCGCTATCTGAAAAAGGAGTGGATGTTTTACCATCATATGACAAAATAAATGAAAAGAAGAAAAGCATTATACCATCTCCTATTGAAATAACTGATCGGAAGGCTGTTATTGGACTCGGCGCTCTACTCGAAAATACTGCTTTAAGGATTGCTTCTGACTTTTCTTCAGACCAACTAAAAAAAAATAAATTCTTGTGATCTTCAACTCATTTGTAAGTGGGGATGTGATGGATTATCAGCACTCTCGGAATATAAACAAATCAACACAAGTGAATCATCTTCCGAGTATAAAAGTGTATTTATGGCATCGCTAGTTCCATTAAGAATTCGAAAGTATGCTGACAGCGATTCTCCATCAACCAGTTTCGATGATATTTGGAAGAATTCGACTCCAGGATCCAAAGCTTTTTGTAGGCCAATATGCTTTGAGTATATAAAGGAATCCAAAACAACAACGCAAGATTTGATAAATCGTATTGAAGCAGAAATTAAAAACTTGGAACCTATAACAATCGAAATAGAAAATTATTCGTTTAACATGGCCTATGATTTAAAACTTACAATGATTGATTTGAAAGTTGGAAATGCCATTACAGGAACATCATCTACTTGGTACTGCTACATATGTGGTGATAAAAAATCAGAATTTTCGAATATTTCCAAGCAAAGGTCAATAAATGAGGAAACATTACAATTTGGAATATCCCCCCTACATGTTCGCATACGATTTCTGGAACATTTTCTACATTTAGCATATGATTTAAAGTACAGAAGCATACCGGAAAATGCAAACAAAAGTGCAAATAACAATAAGGAGTTAATGGAAATGAGAGGCAGTGAGAAAAGAAGAATTCAAGAGGAATTTAAAAAGCGGATGGGATTAAATATTGATAAACCATTCACAGGATATGGAAGCACAAACGATGGTAATACCGCTAGACGTTTTTTCAAACATCTTGAATTAATATGGATTTACTGCAAAAGGTCAATATTATTATAATGGCGATAAATAGCAAGCATAAAGTGAACGCAACAAAATTTGGAGAGTATTCTACAAAAGTTTCTAAATTACTTTTGGAATTATATCCCTGGAAAGGAATGACACCTACAGTTCACAAGATATTATGTCATGGAAAGGTCATCATAGAACATAATATTCTGCCTTTAGGATAGCTTACAGAAGAACCCCAAGAATCGAGGAATAGAGACTTTAAGCATATTCATCAGTTTAGCTCAAGGAAGTGTTCTAGGCAGTCTCAAAATGAAGATGTTTTTAATAATCTGATTCTATCTTCTGATCCTGTTTTATCTACTATAAGGAAACGTTGGATTTGCTACAAAACGTTAGCATTTGAAAATATTCATGAATTTAAAGATTTACTTTGTCTTTTAGATATGGACTACTGTGATACCGATTATTTTACAAAATTATATTAATTTATAAAAAAAAAAATAAATAAAGACTATTTTTATATAAAATAAATACTTGTTAATTTTTTTAGGGATAAAGAATAAAAGATTAATCGTAAAAAGTGGCTGTAAAAATTCATAAAAATTTAGGTAGTAAAACATGCCTAACATGGATGAAAATAATAGTACTAGATAAATTCTCTAAAAGATGTTTTTTTTTTTAAAAAATTAAAAAATGTTTTTTATTCAGTTTTTGCGAAGATACAAATTTTTCAAATTGCAATAAAAATTTTATTTATGAATATTTTTTGATGAAATTTTACAGTTAGGTAGATTTTTTACTCAAAATCCAAAATTAAATAAAAATTTCGAATTTTCTTATTAGAAATCCCGGAATTCCCAAAAAAGTTTTAAAAATCCCAAAAATAGGATTTTTTAGTTTTTTGCCTATTATATCCATACCAGGGGCGGGGTTATCGAAACCGTTACAAAATGATTAAGAACATATTGGGTCATATAAAACAGGTCACTATAATTTGATATCGACTATGCGATTTGAGAATTTTTGCTCAAAATTAAATTTTCCATAAAAAATATGTTTTTTTTTGGATGGACCTGGTCCCCTCGGTATCAAAAATTTTTAGGTTTTGTTTCATTTATCGTATTTTATGTAAAGTCAGCTTCCAAAAAGTATAAGTTCTATATACATCTTCTTAGAAACTTTTTAGATAACTTAAAAAGAAAAAGATACTTTTTTTCCCAAAAAAATGGCAAAAAATCGCCTTTTTTTAATTTTTAAATTAAAATGCCTATAACTTTGGACTCAGTCATGATTTTTACATAATTCTTTCACTGCTTGATATATAAACTTGTTTTTAAAACTAAAGTAAGGACGGTAAAAATTTTAAAATTTTAATTTTCAAATGCGAATATCTCCTAAACGATAAGAGATAATTTACTGCATTTTTTATAGTGCTCGATGAGGAGATTCTATATACAAAATTTTTTTTAAATCGGAACTCAAATGAAGAAATAGGATCGTTTTAAAAATTTAACATAGCCGAGGTGTCCTAATTTGAGGACCCCCGCCGGGCCCCTGGTTGGCCTATAAGGTCCAAATTCAAAACCTAAACTCGACTCATCGGATTAACCGTTTAGAAGTTACCGAATTATTTCCCTCTTTTTTCCTATACCACTGTGCATTGCTTTAAACTTTTTTGTTTTAAAAATAATCATAAAAATGAATTTTAATTTCCTTTTCAATTTCTTTCAATAAATATAATTTTTATAAAAAATAAAAATAGTACACTCAATTTTATATTAGTAATATTAAAACTTTTTTCGTATGTAATAATGTTAAAAGAACATACAAACAATTTTAAGCAGGGAGACAATTTTTTAATTTTTGTTTGCACCTTTATTACTTACTTTAAATTGGAAACTGATGACTTGCATAAATAGCATTTTATTAGTTTTTGTTTATATGAGTAATGTAGAAGAATTATTGGGGTGTTAATAAAAACCGTAACATTAATTTCCGTTGTATTTAACCTTGAATTTGAATACGTATACAGTTCCATGGAGCTGGGTTGTTGACCCAAATCAATTGCATATTCAAATATTTGTAATTACCCTAAAACTCTTTTAAACAAAATTAATCAAGAAAAAAATTGATTTGTATAAAACAAAAAAATGTGAAGTAAGCTAAATTTTTTAACTTTTACAGACATACATATACATAAGTATGTATCTGTAGATTGTTGATCGCCTGTTGCTCGCCCGTTGTTTGAAACAAAATACCACAATATTTACATGTGAATTATAGAGAAAAAACACCAATGTATTAGGAACATGTGTATATGTCTAATAAAATATTTATGGTTTTAAAATTGCCTGACAAAAAAGATTACCTTGCTAGGGAAAGTCATGTAATCATATTACATTCATTATATTTAATAGAATTAAACTATTTCTAAAAGTATTAAAAACGTTTGTGCATCATACACCAAAATATAACAAAAAAAGATAAGCTAATTAAGCTACTTGGCTCGGCTCATACCCCATTTATAAAGGTTCTAAATTTTTTCTTATAGTGCCTTTTTACGGAAAGGCACTATTATGGTGCTTTTCAAATTGCTGATATTTAAAGCGCCTTGGCGACACATCAACTTGGTTGACTCAAACAGTAAAGGCTCAGTTAGTCTCTACGTTCCGTTCCGTGATGAATCAGCTGATTCGTTTTTGGCTTACGAAAACCTGTGTCGTTAGTTTTGCCGTAACGTTGAAGTTACGTTGCGGATGAACCTGTAGAAAATAGAATTCAAAGTGACAGCTATAAACAGCTGACATAAAATACATAAAAATGTAAACAAGAAAAAAACAGTGATGTTAATGTTTTAAAAATAATGTACATCAGAAAATTTTAATTATTACGATTATTTAAAATACTTTAAAATTATACATTAAAATTAATATACTTCTTAAATTAGTAAATATTTATTTAAAAAAAAAATTATACTAAATGTTATTAGAAAAAATTTAAAATTAATAAGTAAAAGAGAAAAAACTCTGAAATATGTCAAAGAAAAAAAAGAAAATAAAAAATCGTGTTTCGATAAAATTTTTACTTTTTATATTAATTATATAATAATATAATTAATTATATAATAATATTAAGTAATTTATATTAAACAATCATGAAAATCCCAAATCATGTTTGTTTTCTTACCCCCCATTCTTCTCTACCCCGCTCACCACCAATCATCGACAAACATGAAAACAGACGTCTGGGCAAACATGAAAAAAAATCATCATGTAAATTGGGTGATAGAAACTAACTACACATAAACAGTCAAGTAGCAAAAGACGCACGAATCGTAATTTGAGGGGTTTTTTTGCTATCTCTTTTGTTATGCGTTCGTAATTTTGCCAGTTGCTTTATTTTTATTCTGACCTCAAAGAGTGAAGATCGTGTGCGATCAGTTTAATACATGTATCAGTGTTGCCTGAAGCAATATTTTGAATTTTATTTACATTACATAGAATCTAAAAATAATTAATTTTTAAATAATTGCTTGTTAAATTTTAGTTATTTTTATAACAAACAATAAATAATTAAATAAATAATTGTAAAAAGAACAATATTTCTTAGTTAAACTCCTATTTAAATAAGCAATTGAGTGTAATTTCTTCAAAATTTTTATAAAATATTAAAATATATTTGTTATCAATATTTTATTGGACAAATATTTTATAAATAAATATATTTATTCATAAATAAAATAAAAGAAATAACAATAAAGAAATATAAAAAGGGCAACACTAACACGATATAAACGTTCATTATTTTACGAAGGGCATTTAAAAGAGAAAGGAGGAGAAACCCTGCGACATGTCCCCTCAGCTAAAAGTCCTCTAACAAAAGTTTCCCAAAAAGGTTTTCCAGTGTGAACCAGGTC